TGTGTGTGTATCTCCGACCTTCCCTCTGTGTGTGTGTGTATCCGACCTTCCCTCTGTGTGTGTGTTTGTGTCTGTGTGAGTGAGTATCCGACCTTCCCTCTGTGTGTATTTTGTGTGTCTGTGTGTGTATCCGACCTTCCCTCTGTGTTTGTGTGTATCTGACCTTCCCTCTGTGTTTGTGTGTGTGTATGTGTATCCGACCTTCCGTGTGTGTGTGTGTGTGTGTGTGTGTTTGTGTGTGCGTTTGTGTGTGTGTATCCCACCTGTGTGTGTGTTTGTGTGTGTATCTCCGACCTTCCCTCTGTGTGTGTGTGTATCCGACCTTCCCTCTGTGTGTTTGTATCTGACCTTCCGTGTGTGTTTGTGTGTGTGTATCTGACCTTCCGTGAGCGTGCGTGTGTATCCGACCTTCCCTCTGTGTTTGTGTGTATCTGACCTTCCCTCTGTGTTTGTGTGTGTGTATGTGTATCCGACCTTCCGTGTGTGTGTGTGTGTGTGTGTGTGTTTGTGTGTGCGTTTGTGTGTGTGTATCCCACCTGTGTGTGTGTTTGTGTGTGTATCTCCGACCTTCCCTCTGTGTGTGTGTGTATCCGACCTTCCCTCTGTGTGTTTGTGTGTGTGTGTGTATCTTCAATCTTTCGTGTGTGTGTGTGTGTGTGTGTGTGTGTGTGTGTGTATCCGACCTTCCCTCTGTGTGTTTGTATCTGACCTTCCGTGTGTGTTTGTGTGTGTGTATCTGACCTTCCGTGAGCGTGCGTGTGTATCCGACCTTCCCTCTGTGTTTGTGCGTGTGTGTTTGTGTGTGTGTATCTCCGACCTGCGTGTGTGTATCTGATCTTTCCTCTGTGTTTGTTTGTGTGTGTGTGTATGTGTGTATCTCCAACCTGTGTGTGGGGGGGGCGGGGGGGTGTAACTCTGACTGTCCATGGCTTGCCTTCAATCCGCTTCACCCCTTCAATCCTGTCTCCCTGGCTGAGGCTGATAGGGGTTGTAGTCTGCTGGAAGGGAGGTCGTTGGGGAAGGGCAAATTGGAATGTGGGGGGGGGAGAAGGACACGTGTCTCTGCGCGTGCGCGGAGGCTCTGGGTCTCCAGGTACTCCTTGACTTGCAGCAGTTCACTTAGTGACCAAAGTTGCAACGGCCCTGAGAAAACTTAGGACCCCTTCCCCCTCCCCCCCCCCGTCACAACCTTTGCAGCATCCCCAGGATTAAAATTGCGATGCTTGGCAACGCATTCATATTTAGGACCTTCGCTGTGTCCTAAGGTCACACGATCCCTTTTTAGCACCTTCTGACAGGCAAAGTCAATGGGAAGCCAGATTCACTTAACAATTGGGTTGCTAACTCATCCACTGCTGGGATTCACTTAATAGCTTCAGTTACAAGAAAGCTTGTAAAATGGAGCAAAGCTCACTTAACAACAGAAATGTTGGGCTCAATTGCAGTTGTAAGCTGAGGAACAACCCCCCTTGTATAAACAAATCTGTCACTTACAACAGAAATGTTGCGCTCAATTGTCGTAAGCCGAGGAACCCCCTGTATTACTATTGATTGATTGATTTTTTTTCTCCCTCTGTCTCTCCATAGGAACATCACCACAGTACTAGGTGGCAAAAGCCATCCCACCTGGTCCACCTGTGTGCCAAGATGACTCTTTTCCACTTTGGGAATTGTTTTGCCCTGGCTTATTTCCCCTATTTTATCACCTATAAATGCAGCGGCCTGTGAGTGTCTTTCTTACTTGGAAGAGGGGTGTGTGTGTGTGTGTGTGTGTGTGTGNTTGTGAAAGCTTCATCACTGGAAGAGACTTTCAAGAGGAGACCGGACTGCCATCGTTCAGAAATGGTGTAAGGTCCCTTCCAACTCTTAGAAAAATTCATATACTTTATACAACTGCATCAAAACTACTGGTATAATAATTGATGGTTCGAACTTACAGAAATCAGCATGGATCACAAAGGCTAAGCAAACACCTCTCTCTTAAATCGCTCTTCAATCGTGTCAAAGGATTCCTTCTGACCACAAGAGGTCATACTTCTGAATGGAATCATTTTCTACATGCAGAAGAAAGAACTATTTGGAGATGCAGCAATGATGGGGTTTTATTTTATTTTTTTAAAGAAAAACACTGTTTACTCGAGGCAACTGGTAAAATGGTAAATATGGAGAATGTCTCTGGTCTGTCTTTACAACAGGAATCAAAAGAGACCCCAGCTCAGATGTTTAGCTCAGATGTTATTGAGATACAGCTCCTAGCATTCAGTTTTCACAGCTCCATGTTCTGGAAGATACTTCATAGGAAACTTCTACACTCCACACTTTTTCAAATCTTAAACGCTGCAAGAACGCTAAGCTATTTTGCTTAAGAAAATGCAATTTCTGCTTCTAAATTTGTCTTAATGCTAATAGTAAAGCTATTAGTATTTTCTTTTTCTACATACGTACAGTATTACACTGAATAATCACTGATTTGTTTGATTTCAAACAGTATAAAACAACGCCACTCTAAAGGAGAAATCAAATCTCATATTGGCAAATAAAATGAGGCAAAAATACATGTATTAACATAAAATTGCAACCCACGAGACACCTATAAAATTACAATCACTGATTGCAACTTAACATTAAACAAACAAGCATGATACATACATGGGCAGGAGAGCTGTGATGGACATTAAAACCCATGATTTATGGGTTCAGCTATAACATAAGCTATATTTAATATTGATACACCTGAACAAATGACGTTACAGCCTGTCAAGCTTATATTGCACAGTGCACACCTCACTCTTTAGATTGATTGGCTGACCCATTCCTTCACTTTCCAAGGCTGCACAACTGCAAGCAATTCGGTGCGGCCCGGAACACACGATAAAGGAAGCTGAAGTAGCAAACAGCTAAGGAAGTTATGCTTCAAAGGCTTTCAGAGATCACTGCTTGGCAAAAAGGGATTTTTCCAAAGTTCTGAAGAAACTTCTTGGATGAGAAGGATTGCAACTTTCCTGCGATATACTTTTCGTGGAAAAAATGCAACAGATGAGATTTCTGCTGTATTTCTGCAACATATCCAGCCTACAAAACGAAGTGGCGAAAAGCATTTTCTACACTTTCACTGAACTCCCGTAGTCCAAACTAGATTCGAGAACTACAACTCCCATCCATTTTGTCACCTTCCGACAGCAATTCCCAGGATGCACCGCTCGGCAGGCGCCCTCCTCTCTCTCCCCCTCTCCTCCTTTTCGCTCCAGCAATCCTCCCCGCACGCCGCCCTTCGCGTTAAGGCCGACGTGATTTAAATGAAGGACTACGACTCCCGCCATGCAGCCGCCCTTCCTTCCCCCTCCCGCGACCAAACCTCTAGGCATTATGGGGATTGTATTGCGTCGCGTTCCCAGGGCTCTATGGAAAAAGGAGGGGGCGGCCGCGGGAAAGAACTACAATAACCACCATCCAACCGGGCGCCGCCGCGGGCGCACGCGCAGATGCCTTTAAGGAGGAGGACGTGTATGTGAAGGGAAAAGAGGACGGGGGAGCTTGATGGGGGAGGAAAAGGCTTTTGGGGGCTTCCCTCAGCGGGGAGCTCCGTAGAGAGACGCGGGTGCATTTCTGGGAGCGCTTCTGGAGCGGTGGGTCGGGGTGGTGGTGGTGCTGGCCCTGAGGCGCTTCTAGTCGGGAGCAAGAGCAGCCGTGTGTGTGTGTGTGTGTGTGTGTGTG